ACAATAGGAATTAATAATAGAGGTGGTAGTCATATAAGATGACAGTGTTCAGAGGACAAAAGTCATGACAAGAGCATAACATTCTACTACCCCTCCCATATAAACAAGACAAATATTTAGAGTGAGGAGGTCAAATGTCAGATGAAACCTTTGTATAAATCTCCCTTTATGAATTCAGAGGACCTCAGTTTCTGAACCCATAAGGGTTTAGATGTGATCTGCTGGGCGAGAGGCACCTAAGGCTTGATGGATGGTACAGTACAATGGTCAGAGAGGAAGTGGTATTTGTGCCTCTACTGAATTGACAATGCCCTTAAAGTATCAGGATGAAAGTTTTGCATTAACAGGAAAGCTAAAGTTGGCTGGTCACTACATCACCCCAGCTACTTTAGTGTAAGGAGATGTTTTGAACCTCAACTGTTGGCTGAATTATATTAAGCCAGTCATTTGATTTCTAAAAGTAAAGAATCAGAAGAGGTTAGTTAACACCAAGGGATTCACTCCCATGAGTCTGGCCTGCAGAAGTGACTCCTTAATTATATTAATGAGAACCAGCAACATAAGAGTATCTACTGGCTGCAGAGAAATTTGTTTTACTCTTTCACAAGTGCTACACACAGAAATTTCTCAAAGGCAAGTAATCTTTCAGGGCCTGGATATGTAACATGCAATGATGTAGGAACTCAAGTTCCAAGGGCTGGACATATTCCTTAGTTTTTAATGAGTTCACTGACTGGCTTAGTCTTCCTTTCCACATACAGGGTGACTTCAGAATACAAGTTAATGTTCCCTCACACATCCTGGTATCACAGTTCCTCAATCTACTCTATTTTTCTATTATTTTCTATTATTCTATTATCTATTCTTATAACTGCTACATATGGAGATAGTCATACCTTTACCTTACCATCCCCGCTCCCCTCCCCACTCCAAACAAGCATTCCAATTCCGTGTTCAAGAGCTCTCATTCTCCTTTATCCAATCATAATCTTTTATCTTTCCATCTTTCCCTATGCCTTATTCTTCTTACTCTTCAATCTTACTGTGACTTCAAATCCCTCCATTCTCGAGTACTATCCCAGGCCATTACCGTGCTCTAACTAGTCTCTCTTCCCTTCCCTATGTCCCTTGGTGAACTAGTTCAACTCTGTACATTTATGTGCTGGTGAACAAAGCTAAAGGATGTGTTGATTGGGTCCACTACAAATTTGTTATCTAACCTCAATTTAGCCTTCACTAGGAATGAGACAAATGTTATACCCATCTACTCTCCACAGTGGTGTTCTAAACCTTCTCATTTCTTCTCAAGTATCTCTTCAATCTCCATTGCACACTCACTTGGTAATCTCATCAATCATTCAATTATATTCTCTACCAGATCTTTAATTACAGTACAAGTCTCTCCTAAACTCTAGTACCACATGACCTAACTACATTTTGGATCTCTCAAATTCGGTGTCCTATAGCTATCCCAAAACCAGAAAGTCCCACACAGTCACTACCTTTCCATTAATCTTATCTTCCAAACATCCTTATTACTTATTGTCAAGGATACCACCATTCTTCCATTCACCCAGGTTTGGGACCACCATCTTGAACTTCCCTCTCTTACTCAACTGACATGATCACTTTTGCCAATTCTTGTGATTTGTTTCCCTAAAACATCTCTAAAATACATCTTCTCTCTGTTTACACAGCCACTACCCTCATTCAGACCCTCATTACCTCTTGCCTGGATTACTGCAATAGCTTTCTAATTTTACTTCCTGACTCAAGTCTCTCCCCATCCTAACACAAATGCTAAGGCTATTCACCCCAAAGTATAGATATGACTATGTCACAAACATTCTACTCCTTGATCTCACTCAGTGAACTCCCATGGCTCCCTGTCTACTCTAGGATCAAATATAAATTTCTCTCTTTAGAATTAAAACCTCCTCAGAAATTTTTCTCTTCCTACCTTTCCAGTCTTATCACACTTTATTACCCTCCAAAACCTCTATGGTTCAGCCATAATCGCTTACTTGTTGCTCTTCACATCTTGGGGAATTTGCACTGATTGTCCCCTGTGTTTGGAATGCTCTTCTTCTTAGAATTCCTGGCTTTCTTAAAATTTAAGTGACACCTCAGGCCTTTCCTAGTCTATCCAGCTGCTAGTACTCTTCTTTCTAAGGCTATTTATTTTCCATCTAATCTGTAATCATCGAGTTTGTACCAATTTAGGTATAATTTATCACATGGTTTTTTTTTCTTTGTATAACCAACGCTTAGCATAGTGTTAGAACACAGTAAGCATTTAATAAATGCTTACTGATTGATTTGTGGCCCTAAGAAAGGTCTATTTGAGGACCTCTGCCAATGGATTTTACTCATTTCCCTACTATCTACAGAACCAAGATATATATTGAAATAGTTAGCTGAGATGTGTCCATACAGTTCAAAGTACAGAAATAACACTTTTGTAACATATTAGAACCAATTGCCTGGGGTGAACCATGACTAGGCCTGAGATTCATTGTCTCCTGGAATGTCTGGTGGCCCTGCGGCAAGAGGCCATGGAGCAGACCACGAATTGGGTCAATGTAACTGGAACAAAGGCAGCAGATTCCTGAGACAAGCCTCAACCTGGGTAAATTGATGAATGAGAACTACTAGGGTGTCAATTAAGTTGTGAGGACTAATTCTTAACAGATAGCATGAGCCAAGAACTTTTAAGAAATTCTCAGTAAGGATGGGCTAACTCTGAAAGGAATTCTGAGCCAGGGCATTAAAGAAATATTTTTCTCTCCTTCCCATTACCATGCCCAATAGGTATAGGTGATAGATCTTTTGGCTAGCACCATTCCATAAGAAGACAGTCTACAAAAGATGCCTCCATTTCCTCTCCTCTCACTCTCTCCTTAACTTTCTATAGCCTAGCTTCTGACCACATCATTCAACTGAAACTGCTTTCTCCAAAGTTAGTAGTGATCTCCTAATTACCAAACCTAACATTTCTTTTTTTTTTCCTCTCAATTCTCACCCTTCTTGACCTCCCTGCTTTGACATTGTGATTCACCCTCTTTTCCTTAATATTCTTTTTTTTGTAGATTTCCAATAACAATACTCTCTCCTGATTTTCCTGCTACCTCTGACTGCTCCTTAGTATTATTTGCTGGATCTTCACCCAGGTGAAGCTAGTCTGCTCTTTGCTGAGTCCTCTTTTTTCTTCTATACTGTTTCCATTGGTGATTTCATCAGTTTCCATGGAATCAATTATAATCTCTATGGTGATAATTGTTGAATCAACTTATCCAGCTGTAACACCTCCACTGACCTCTATTCTTCAATTCATTGTTCAATAGAGTGTCTCTCTTTTTTTTTTTTTTCCCTCTCCCACCCTCATGTTGCTAAGGCCTGTTGGTTTTACCTTTGCAGCATCTTTTACATATTCCCCTTTCTCTCCTACGCTGCCACCCCCATGCCTGGACTACTGGTCCTCACACCTGTTGGTTGGTCTACTTGCTACAAGTCTCTCCCTCCTCCGGTCCATCCTTCACTCAGTTATCAAAGTGATCTTCTTAAAGTGAAGGGTTGACCATGTCATATGCCCTACTCAACAAACTCCAATGGATTCATATCACCTACAAGATCAAATATAAATCTTCTGACATTCTAAACCCTTCATAACCAGCTCCCTCCTTTCTCAGCTTTCTAGTCATCTTACACTTTACACCCCTTCACAGACTCATCACCATTCCACCTTTTGACTCCAGTAATTTTTACTGGCTGTCCCCCATGTAATGCTCTCTCCTCTCATTTCCACCTCTTGACTTCCCTGGCTTCCTTGAAGCCCTTGCTACAACCTTACCTACTACAGGAAACCTTTTCAATCCCTCTTAACTTTAGTACCTTCTTTTGGCTGCTTATTTCTAATTTATCCTGTGCATATCTTCATTTGTACATAGTTATTTCAGTCAGTCAGTCAGCATTTATTAAGTGCTTACTATGTGCCAGGCATGCTAAGCTCCGGCCATTAGATTGTGAATTCTTTCTACATAGGGATTTTGACCTTTCTTTGTATAACAGTACCTGGCACACAATAGGTGCTTAAACAATATTTATGGAAGGACTGACTAACTAGAAGTTTCCATTCACTAAAAGGTCATAGAAGGCCTGCCTGAGTTCCTGAATGAAAGCTTACTGGCACTGAAGAGATTTAAGTAGATCCTGGTTCATCACTTATGAGAAATGTTGTTGAAGGGATTCTTTTTGGTAATGGGCTCCAGGGGTGGGGAACCTGTGGCCTAGAGGCCACAAGTGGCCCTCTAAGCCCTCAAGTGCAGCCCTCTGACTGAATCCAAACTTCACAGAACAAACCCCCTTAATGAAAGGATTTGTTCTGTAAAACTTAGACTCAAAGGGCCGTAACCTGAGGACATGTGGCCTCAAGGCCACAGGTTCCCCATCCCTAGGGACATTCAATAGGGGATCTCTAAAGACTTTTCTAATTCTGACGCTCTTTGAACTGGTTATTCCTGGTTAAATACAAGGTCACCTAGTAGATGGCAGATTCCAACAACTGTGAAACTACAAAAGCAAAGTTGACACAGTCTGTCCACAACTCCTGTTCATGTATGTTCACAATTTTCTCTTAGCCACAATCCTAAGAAATTTAGTACACTGACTTGAAACTTTTCAAGTGGCCTTATTACATTGATCAAGAGTGATTGAGTGGTTTCTACCTGCTTCCATATTCATTTATATTACTCTTATAGGAAAGAGGTCACATCCTAGTTTCAAGAATGTTAGCTTAATGGTATCTCTTTCTACATGGAATTAATTGCACTACCTTCATTTCCTTTACTATTTAATTCACTTTATAAATAATAATAAGCCAACAATAATATATTTTGAGGTAACATAACATTTGATTATTTTTCATCTACAATTTTTATCAAGAACACTTAGTATTATAAATGTGATTTGTACATTTAAATAAGATTAGAAAGCATACTCACCATCGTTTGGTTTCCTGATCTTTCTTCTTATAATTGTCCAATTTTTTCATTCCTTTCACATTCTGCTGTTTTAAGGTTTCTTCAGTCTCCCAAGTGTTATGGATATGGGACCATCCTTTCCATTTAATTAAATACTGGATCTCTCCTGGTTCCTTAGTTTTTTCATATCCAGCATTGGGGTCACCATCTGCTTCAACTGCATAGATGGTTGTAGTAGCACCAGTTGCTGAAAACAAAAATAAAGTTAGTTCCCCTATTATTTTTACCGTGTTACAAAATATACTGTTACCCATACATACATACATACATACATACATACATATATATATATATATGTATATATATGTAAGTACATGTGCATATGTACTCATGAGTACATAACAACAAAAGGGCTAAGCAAACCTCTCATGGTTTAAGGAAGCTGTTTTGGACTCAAATTAAGAATTCAGTCAAGAATTTATTTTAAAAATTTTACTTCCATTTTTAAAAAATGTCTGTTTAAATAAGTGAGTAGAGCAATTACATCAATAACATAGAATCAAAATAAATGATATAAACTCAACCTCTGCAAATAATTTTTAAACTTTTGTAGTATAGATATTTACATCAAGATGATATGGACATTTATAAGTATGCAACAAATTACGTGTATCAAAAGATTACTTCCATTTTCCACAGATCAACTACAATGTGACTTTTCAGTGATTATTCAACTTTTCAGGCCATTTCAAATGACAGTCACAGAATCTCACAAAGTCCAAATCACAATTAAAAAAAGTTTCTCAACTTAACTTATAAATAACTGAACAGCACTTCTAGAGTGCTGCTTCAAAGTATCTGAACTCTTACTTTTTTTTTTGCTTTTAATATCAACAAAAGAGAAGCGTTAAAGCTATATCTCAAGATAAAAATAATACTGATATCTTACATTTGCACAGTGCAAAATAACAATAAACCAAATCTCAGAAAAATTCAGGTGAAAGAAATCTCGATGTTGAAATTACCATTACCTTCCTGATAGCATTTTGTAACTACGAGAAACTCAAACAACTTCATAATTTTAAAACTTTTAATTAATCTCAACATATGAGGTAAAGTGTATAATAATATTCTTTTTTACAGAAAATACTCAATAAAATTAAGTACTTTCCTTACGCAAACAGCAAACCATTAAATAATTAAGGACAGGAAGATATTTATCAATGTGTTTTCAACTACAGAATGGGAATATAGTGAATTATTCAATGGAGTAAAATTATATCCAACAAAACAAGATTTGAATTGTTCCTCCTTATAGTCTGTGCTAAAGTTGAGTAAATAAATAAAAATACCTCCTTTTCTTCCAATCCTACTGTCCATAAACCTTTCTATTGTCTCAAATTCATCTTCTTCAGGTTGAGGAACATCTTCTCCACAAACTTCCAACAAATCATCTGAATCTGTTTTCATTTCTTCATCTTCCTTATAACTAACATTGACAGTTGCCTGGCGACGAGAACCTCTTTTATCATAATCATCATCATCATCTTCAGATGAATCAATCTGTCTCTTCTTCTGTCCAGAGATCTTCTTTCCATTTTTTGCTTTAGTTCTATGAAAGGAAAAATAAAATGCTTTAAACATATTTTGAAGGACTGTCCAACAGTGGTTCAATTGAAAGGCAGAACAGAAGAACAAGGGCAGGACTTAGAATCAATTTGGTTCAAAATGTCTCTGACACATACTTGCTAGATGACCATGCAACTAAGACAGTTAAAGGAGCTGATAAATTTCCCCCATTGGAGAGTTTCCACATTAGAGTTCCCCAAAACAATGAAATCAAAGATCCACACCTTCCCCCAACGCAAAAAAAGGCTTAACACTAAGTGTAAAATATCTATGTACAAAGGAATTACTACCCATGACCATTGAAGATTTTTAATATGATATCAAATTAAAGAATATTGATTTTTACCTGATTTGAGGTTTCCTGCTTTTGACTTTATTTTTTGGCTCATAGTCAGATTCACTTTCATCACAACTGCTTTTTTCTCTTTCTTCTTCTGATTCAGAATCTGAACCCGTCTGGGAGGGAGATCCTGACCCTGACATCTGCCAATCTTCACTGCATACATTAAAGAAATAACCAGTGTTAGTGTCCAGATTTTTAAATGACCATATGTATATTAGTATCTGGTATAAACTATACTTGAGTTACTTAAATATATTTTCTGTATTTCAATGAATCTTATAATGAAACTTTTTAAAAATGAAACATAAAAATAAGATACAAAATCTATAAAATTAGCCAAACAACAAGTAGGCTGATATGTAAAACGCCACTATTTCTAAACTAACTCAGTATTAGAAATATCTTTCATCCAAAAATTCCAACATTCAATTTAATTCTGCCAACATCTGTTAAACTATTACTTTATGCAAGGCACTGAAGATATAAAACCAGACATAATATAAACCCTATTTCTCAAAGAGCATGCAACGTAAGTTCCTGTAGATAATATTTCCTTCTGAACTTCCCAAATAATTTTACATTGAAGCTAAGTTATATATCATTCTTTTTTTTTCATTTACTAACCTAAGGACACATTTTGATTTTCTTACCTATGAACACAATATATGTAATATAGAAGATTACTATGTGTGTCTTTTATTTTTCTAATTTAATTTGGAATTTGAATATTTTGGGTTTGGTGCCCAATTTGGCATTTTAATGATGACATAAGCTAGATTTAAAGTTAATATGTGCTAATGCTGCTTTAGAGAGTAAAACATATATCTAATAAATATAGAGGTATAAAGGCTTTAAAAAAAAAATCAGTGAAATATGTCTATCAAGATAATGGTCGTTCTACTCAATTCTAGAAAGTGCCCTGATTACTGTATCTCAAGTCCCTTTTTTAACTGCATTTACCAGTTATCTCCCCTAATAAGTGAATGACATATTAAGGTATCTTGGAAATGATCTTTAGGTTAACTCTGATACCACTCAACACATATACTACTTTCAACTTGTATTAGCATAGAAAAAAGGTACCATTTGTCAATAACTATTCACCTTCTTTTCCCCTAACATTTTCTCTGTAGTTACTCTTCATATCATTTTCTCAAGTAAACCATTAAGAAACTCACTTAGGAATGAAGCATATCACCACATTTTTTTTCCCTAAAAAATAGCTGAACCCTAAGTTCTCTTCTAGATCTGAGTATTATGATTAACAAACTGAAATATGAAATTTATATGCCTCTTCATATACATTTGTGAACATGCTATGCTGTGTGCTACAATACCTTTAAATGCTAGTAATTTTCTTAACAAGTTGGGCATAGTTTTTCACATGAAAATAAACTGTCAATATTTTTTGAAGGAAAGGGAAAAGGAGAACGTAAAGGAATAAGCATTTAGTACTTACTGTGTTCCAGGCACTACATTAAGCACTTTACAAATATTTTCTTATTTGAGACTCACAACAACCCTAAGAGGTAGATGTTGTTATTATCCCCATTTCAGAGTTGAAAAAACTAAAGTAAACAGATTAACTGACTTGCCTGAGATCACACGGCTTTATAAGTGTCTGAGGCTGCACTTGAACCCAGGTCTTCCTGATTCCAGGCCCAGCACTCTATCTATTGAATTACCTACCTGTCCCATCTAGCGGAAAAAGTCAGTAAGCTCTTTAGTCACAGGTGTAATGAAGTAACAAAAACAAGACTCACTGATATTACTACTTTCCACTGATAGGCCAAAAGTGTGTTTTGTAAGAAAAAAGAAAGGAAGACAGAAAAAAGAGCTATATAAAGAAGCAAATACAGTAATACGTGGCAGACTATTAAAAATAAATGCTTAAATAACACTCTTTAAATTGCAAGCCATTTAACTATTCTAGAGCTTTTTGCTTTTAACTCATAGTTAGTAGCTTTGGAAAACATAATGCTGTGTAAGTGGGACAACTTAAAATAAGTACACCATTGTATTTCAAAGGCTATTCAAATGACCACCAGGTCCCAACAGGCTGAAGTTACAATATAGCTCCATTTCCTCCACAGATAAGCTGAGCAATCAGGACGTTAATGACTTGAAATGCCCTTATTACCTTTATGAAGCAGTATGGTGTAGTGAAAAGAGATGCTGGTGTACATAATAGTATCTGAAGGACTTTCATGTGGAAAAGAATGTTAGATTTCTTAAGATTAGACTTGCTCTGCTTTGCCCCAGAGGTTAAAATCAGGAACAAAAAGCAGAAGTTCTTTACTTAAGCAAATTTAGGCTTGATACAAGGAAAAACTTTCTAATGTTTAGAGCTAGCCCAAGATAAATAGGTAGTGGGATCCTTTTCACTGAAAGTCTTCAAGCAAAGATTTGATGAAAACTTCCTGGCTCTTGTTCAGGTATAAGTTACACTACATGGCCCTGGAAGTTTCTTCCAATTTTATTATTCAATATAAATAAATTTCCATTATTATTATTGTTGTCATATGGTTGAGCAATATTTCTTAAACTGTAAGTAGAGACTCACATAAGGTTGTGAGGAAGTTCTGAAGGGGTTCCAGAGATCAGGAAGTTAGTTATCTAAACAGATGAACAGAAAGGAGTAAACCTTCATGTCATCTAAATAACACTCATTTCCCTCTAGTTGTTAAGATTCCTAGTATAGCATGCCAAAAAATGAATACGTAACTTTTATTAGTTTGAAGTGGGTGGTGGTGGTATGAAATAGAGCTGCAGAAACCCTCAGAAGTAGTCATGTGAGAAAAAAATATAAGAACTAATAATTGCTTAAACTAACTTAATAATTGCCAATATGAATCAAAGGCTATTTCTGACTTCTACACACACACACACACACACACACACACACTCCTCGTGTGTGACATTAGTAAAGTTGAATATAGTTATGTCGATTAAAAAGACATCCTACTCTTTATGTTTTTTCCTCTTGACCTCACTGGATGACTCCTCTTCAGAATCTTCACTGCTAGAAGAATCCTACAAAGAGAAAAATAAGTATTACAGCATAAAATTAGTATCATGAGGTTAATTTCTAATGGTAATTCTAAATGTCTAATGGTAGAAATTTTAAAAGTGATGACAGATTCCTGAATTAAAGTTTAATATGTTGTAGGTGGTAATACATGTAAAATAGTCATGAAATTATCATTTTAAATAATGTTTGAATCTCTACATCACATTTCAGGGAACGGGTTTTTTTTTTTTCTTTTTCTCTGTATTACTTTATTCCCCTCAAAAAACAGCAGTAGAACGATTTCCTTTTTTATTGACTAAAGTAATTTTAAAAATTTAAACTATCAGTTCAAGTAAGTAGCAAAATAAGGCATATAATTTTAGTTTTCCATACCAAAGTATAACCTTGTTAAAACTATTGGTGGTCTTCCTTTTGGCCACTTGCTACTAGTAATATATTCATGGTTGAGGATTCCATGTATGAACAAGCCAAACACCCAACACTACTTTTTTCTCCCCCATAAGAGTTCACCAACTCCATACTACCAAAAATCTTCATATAAAACCTTTAAAATTAGGTTAAATAGTTTAACAATTGGCTGCTGCATCTTGGTCAGTCCCTTATCTTTCTTCTAAGCTAATCTGAATTTTAAAATATCAGCTATACAGGGTGAGGAAAATACTTAAACATAAAAATATGGCCTTCAGTAATTCGGATCATTTAAATGATTTTTCTCTCTACTCCAGTGATAAAAAGAATTTCTAAAAGATGTTAGCTCAGTTCTGTCTGTCAAATTTTAATTTAGCAAACTGTTCAAAGAATCGCATTAAAATATAAAATGATGGACCTGATTTTCTAGTGAAAAGAGAGTAAACACTTTTTGATGTCTGATAACTTTCCTGACATAAGATAATTACTTAATTAACAATTTTAATTTAATACTTGGCTCCCATTGTTATAAAAGAATTAGTGTACCTCTATCAAGTGAGCTATTCTTTAAAACTAAACCTAATAAAAACCAAAATAGATTATATAATATGTATGTATCTGTATAGATGTATATGCGTGTGTATACACATATAAAAATTTGTAGGCATTTTGAGGGAAGGAGGGTGGTTTAAAGTAATTCTTCTAAAAACTGAGCATTGAATTCCAAAAGTGATAAACAGAAAACAAGCATTCTTATACATCCTTTGGATTTCAATCATGCTGATTAAAAAAAAAAATGAATTGCCATTATAGGTATGTTTAATAAAACCAAGATGAGAACTTGGGCTTGTATGAAATCAATCAAATGAGAAATTCAAAAATTTTCAAATGAAATACAAACTACTTAGTTATCAAAAAGGTACAATTTTCAAGAAATGTACAGGTGTACTACTAGTTTTAAAGATGAAAGTTAAATTGGTTTGCAAGAATCTTTTTGTTTTTACTCTCTATTCTACTTTAGAGAAGAAGTTTGTGGTTTAAATGCTTATCTCAATTTTCTGAAATAACTGAAATGGTACCTGGAATTCCACTTCCTTATGAATTCCCAAATGAAGGTACAGAATTGATAACTTACACATGTTAAGCCATAGTCAATTCAATTTTACAAATGAAGTGAATTGTAAATGAGAATATACTATAGTTAAATTTTTTTAGCATTCCTTGTATGCTAGCAACCAAATAAGCTTTATATAAGGAAGCAGCATGTATGTGAAATCCTAAAACTTGCACTGCATTGCTAAAGTTTCTATTCTTTTTATTGCTTAAATTTAATATATTATACTTGATCATAGGATCACTGATTTAAAGTTGAAGGGACTTTAGAGATTCATCTATTCTAGCTTCTTCATGTCATTAATGAGAAAATTGAGGTCCAGTGAGATTAAATGATTTTGCCAAAGGTCAGTCACATAGTCAAATCAGGGCCCCCTTACTCCATATATGGCATTTCTTTAAGAGTACCAAGATGCTTCAAAAATTGGGTTCAGTATTTAATGAAGGAATCAGATTTCCAAAAATGTTCATTCTGTTTTTCAAATGTAGTCAAGGTTCAGAAAGCTACATCACCACTTTGATAGCAAATCAATGCTGTCCTGAGTGTGTTCTGTGAGTCATTGTCCAGGTTCTTTGAATTTAAATTCAAAAAAGTATATAAATTATCCTAGAGCAAAACATATGACCAATATTTTTTTGAAGGGCAGTCATTTCCCCTAACTAGTCTTTCAAAATATATATATTTTCTTAAGAGTTTGACTGATCTACAAAACACCATGTCAGTCAAATTAAAAAATACTGTCTCATAAAAGTTCACCTCTTCTGATCCACTATTGGAGGAAGTTTGTTGTTGCTGCTGCTGCTGCTGCTGCTGCTGCTGCTGCTGCTGCTTTCTAAGCATTGCAGATCTTTGGACAGCCAGAATACTAGGATTTGATTTCCAAAACTAAAAAGAGAAAAAAATAGTAAATAGAAAAGTATAAAAGGTTTGCATAATTGACAATCAGTTAAATCTATATAAAAAGCAGGGGAATGAGTACAAACATTTTCATTCATAGAATTCACTGCTCTAAATACTTAGATTATTTCAAAACATGAACATAATAGGTATAGTACAGTTTATCAAACTGCACTACAATTGTAGAAACACGCTTAAACTTTTAGTAGTATTTGCAAAAATACTAACAGTATGTTAACTTTCAAAAAAAAGAAATCATTACACACAGAAATGATGTATTACCAAGAAATACATTAGATATAACATGTTATATCTAATATATCTGATATGTTAAACTGATATAATGCTATTTAATATGAAACATCTAAACATTTTAGTATGGCAGCTTATTTTGATCAAAAAGCTTTATACCAAGTATGTCTAGAGGAACTGAGTTTGCTTAGATTTTCCTGCTATTGATAGAGATTAAAGAATCTAAATATAGAAACAGAATAATTTTGAAGCAGATGAATTAGATGACCTTATAAAATATTTTCTAACCATTATTCAATAAGAACTAATTAATGAACAGAGTTTCAGAAGAAAAGGGACAGTTTTGCTTCTGAAATATGCAAGATCTGTGTTCCCATATTTGCAATGCACGGATTAAGGTGCTTTATTTTAGCCACCTGCCATTTTTTTGCTGCCAAAAATAATTCCTAAATACGTAGGCAAAATATCTGCGGAAGGGTTAAGAGTTAAATGAAAATTTAGTATTTTTAAAATATTATGTATTTTTAAAAATCCTTTAAAATGTCTAAAATGTCTTAAAAATGTTTAAAAATGAACTAAGGAAAAAATGCAATAATATAAGACACATACATTAGAATGTTTTGTTTTTTACCTCAGAGCTATCAACTTTTGGTGGTTTTGATTGTACTTTCTTTTCTCTAGAAGTATCTGACTCAGAATCAGAGTGACTGCCTGAGTCAGACCCGGAATCAGAATCACTGCTGCCTGACTGACTGCTGCTCCCATCACTACTGCTTCCAGAGCTTGATCCAGAACCAGATCCAGAAGCTGATCCAGAATCATCATCCGACTGGCTGTAATTTTAAATAGTTTCTATTAATTTTAAACCATTCACCAGGAACACAATTCAATCTTTCTTGAAATGATAACTTGTTGAACAAACATTTCCTCCAACACCACAATCTCATTTTCACAAAGGATTGCTCTTAGGCTACAGACTGGGGAACTGAAGCAGAGTAATTAAATAATTTGCCCAGGATCACAATCTGTTCATCTACTAATGACCCTCACTGACAACTTGGAAAAAACTCAAACAGCTTAATAATAATGCTAATATTTCAAGAATCTATTATTTCATCTTTCAACCATATTGGTTGTTTTTCTTTATAGTGTTTTTGCTATTATTAAATTGTTCTCCTAGTTCTATTCACTTAACCCTACATCAATTTATACAAGTCTTCCCAGGTTTTTCTAAAATCATTCCTTTTATCATTGCAGTAACCTTCCATTACATTTATATATCAAAATTCATTCATCCATTTCCTAATTGGTGACAACCCCTTTAGTTTCTAGTTCATTGCTATAACTATTTTTAAAACATATTTAATTAAGTCTCTGGAATATAGGCTTAGTAGTAGTTTCACTGGATCAAAGAGCATGCATGGTTCTGTGACTTTTTGGAGTCTGGTTCTGAACTGCTTTCCAGAATGCTTGGACCGATTTCCAGCTCCAACATCAATGGAATGCATCAATGGCCTATGTTCTGACAACCCTGTCAACACCTATCATTTTCATTTTTTTGTCAACTCTGACAATCTAATGGGTGTGAAGTGGAACCTCTGAGTTTCTGAATTTCTCTAGAGAAATTTGCATTTCTCTAATTTTGAGTGATTTGGAGCATCTTTTATTTGGTTTAATTTCAAGGAAGGAAGTTAGGAAGGAAGGAAAGAAGGGAGGGAGGGAGGGAAGGAGGGAGGAAGGAAACAAGCATTTATTAACTGCCTACTATGTGCCAAGAATTCTGCTAAGTGTTTTATAAATATTATCTCATTTGATCCTCATAACAACTCTGGGAGGTAGGTGCTATTAATATTCCCATGTTACAGTTGAGGAAATTGAGGTAGATAGAACGGACTTGCCCAGGGTCACAAAAGTAGTAAGTGTCAGAGGCCTAATCTGAACTGTTTTAGCCACAGTATCACCTAGCTACCATAAGGTTTCTTCCTTTGAAAACTGATAGGCAAGGCAGTTAGTTGCCAAGATGCAACACAATTTTCAAGTCTCCACTAGTAATATATGTAATTATCACAAAATGTGAATATTATTCTATAAAAATAAATTGTTGCCTCTCTAATGCATCCTTCACATAGATGTGAAAGTGAAAGGCTCAAATATTATCATGCAAATCCCATATCCAATCAATTCTGCTTCCTATTATCTAGAGCAGGGCTTTTAAAACTTTTTCACTCATGACCTTCAGTGCTTCTTAAACTGTGGGTCCCATAGAGCAGAGGTGGCAAACTCTTGACCCACTCAAAACTCCAGAGTGCAGTTAGAACCAAATTAAAATATAATTAGGAAATGTCAAACAAAATAAATATAAACAAAATACAACACAGATGTTAACTTGTATTTTTCTAAATCTATATGGATCCCATAGGGATCCTTTTTCTATTTGAGTTTGACATCACTGATCTACAGGATCAAATACAAACAATTCTGTTGGATACTTAAAACCCTCCAAAACCTCATTCAAAATTCTCATTCCATCCATCTATATGTCTAACCTTATTACAAATTATTCCTCTTCAAGCATTAGGGAAAACCTCATAACCAGAAGAATCCCCTTCCTGATCCAGAATTGTCTACTTTCTCCTAATGACAAATACCAATCACTAGACCAAGAGAGGGAAGTAGGAGGAATTACAGGAAAAGAAAAGAAAAGAAAAGAAAAGAAAAGAAAAGAAAAGAAAAGAAAAGGAAAGAAAAGGAAAGAAGAAAAAAGTCCTCAAGCTGTGGCTGACCCTATCATTCTGGCTTACCATTCTGTCAGGTGGGGGGAGGGGAGGAGGCGAAGAGAAATGTCAGGTACGCCAGGCCATCCTGACTCAGAAAATGCTGATTCTAGGTTTTAAGAGAGCACCCTAATTCTAACCCCTAGAACTCTCAGTTGTCATTCTTGAAGGAGGCAAGTGCCAGAAATGTCATCCTAAAGAGCAAGAACTCAGAACTGTCCCTGGCAGAAATCACTAGTCCCTATATTCTCTGAGACAGGGACAAACAGTTCACAATGCAAACAGAAGATCTCTCAGTCTCACTCATCACATGTCAGTGAATAGTACACATGAAATATCACAAAGTATACACCATGGAAAGTCCATTTCCTTTGAAAATCTTTCTCTGCTTCTTCACCCAGTTCACATAACTAATTCAGGTCTCACCTCTTAAATAGGCTACAGATTGAGCTGAACTCATTTTAGGCCAATGTTCTGCACTGACAGGATGCTATATGGCTTCTAGACCAGAAGAGCCTAGTAAGACTTTGGAGGGGCCTGGGAAACTCAACACTGTAGCTCCTCTCAACAGAGCCTCCACAAATGGAACCCCAAATTTCCAGGACCCGGGGAGGCTAAAGCTCATCAGTTTTAGAAGCAAATGATGCAATGAGATACAATGTCTGGGCAGACTAAGATATGAATTGGGCTAGATGACCACTGAGTTATCTTCTAACTCTGAAATTTTATGATTCTGTGTTCTTGCACTTAAGGACAACAAGACTTTTAGAATATAAGTTGCTGCTCAATAGTTATCAGTCATACAGGGCTCTTTGCACCCCAAAGATACTGCAATGGTTTGCCATTTTCTTCTCCAGCTCATTTTACAGATGAGGAAGCTGAGGCAAACAGGGTTAAGTTACTTGTCCAAGGTCACACAGCTAGTAAGTGGCCAAATTTGAATTCAGGAAGGAGTCTTCCTGACTCCAGGCCCAGTACTCTATCCACTGTACCACCTAGTTGCCCTTGTAGAATATAAACTTGCTTGCAAATTTCCTCTACAATATACTTAACAGGTGGTCATCCAGCCTTTGCTTGCAGACCTCCAAAGAGTGAGAACCTACTACTTCTGACAGCAGTCCATTCTACTCTCAAATAGCTCCAATCATTAGGAAATCTTAACTTATTGTTAAACCTAAATTACCCTCATTGCAGCTTCTACCCACTGCCCACCAGGTTCATAAAGAATAAGTCTAATCTCACTTCTACATGTCAGCCCTTAAATTCCTGTCATGTTCCCTAAGTATTCTCTTCTCTAAGATAAATATATCCAGTTCTCTCAATCAAACCACATAGCATGATTTTGAGGTCCTTCACCATTTGACATCACCCACTACCTACTGAACACTTCAAAGTGGATGCCCCTGAGACATTGTCAACTCAACATATACAAAACTGAACCCATTACCTTTCCCTCTAACCCTTCTTTTCTTCCAAAAATCCCTAATTCTGTTGAAGGCATTTCCATCTTTCCAGTCTCCCAAGCTCATAACCTCAGCATTACCTTGGACTCCTCACTCTCCAGTTCACATAGTCAGATGCCAGATCTTTCTATTTCTGCCTTCATATCTCTCATGTCTGAACCTTTCCCTCCACTCACACACCTATGACCTTATTACATATTATTGCAACAGCTTCCAAAATGGTCTCTCTGTCTCAAATCTTTCCCTATTCTAGTCCATTCTACATACTGCAGCCCAAGTAATTTAAATGCAGATCTAACCATGTGATTCCTCTACTTAATCATCTCTAATGGCTTCCCATTGATTCTAAGATAAAATATAAAGTGCTCTATTTAGATTTTAAAGCCCTATACAATCCAGCCCCAACCTGACTTTCCAGCCTCACTGGACGTTACTCCTGTTCCACACTTTATGATCCAGTCAAGCTTACTTTCATACACATGACACTATCTCCCACTTGTGTGTCTTTTTGTACTGGCTGTCTTCAGTGCCTGAAATGCACTCTCTTTACCTCTGCCTCATAAAGTCCCTCTCCTTTTAGAAACAGCTCATGCACTATCTTCTTGACAAAGCTTTTTCCTATTCACTCCAACTGCTAGCTCCCTTCACTCCCTCCTATTTTGTATTTAATATTACTTTGCAGATTTGTATTTACTAACTTTGTATCTAGATATTTTATTCTGTATGAACCTAAGGGGCAAAACTGGAATCGATTGGCAGAAGCTCCAAAGAGGAAATTTAGGTTTACTCTAAATTACACTTCCTAAAAATGAGAATTTCTCCCTCACTGAAGATCTACAAGCAAAGGCTGACCACCTGTTTTGCATGTTGCAGAGGGAAGTGTGCATGCAAGAATGTGTGTCTATATATGCATGTGTGTGCATGTATGTATAGGTACATACATACGTGCTTTCATATGTACTTATCTCCCTGACTAGAATGTAAGACTTCTTTCTGAGGAGGAATTGTTTCATTCTTTGTATCCATCACTACTACTAACACAGTGCCTGGTATACATAGTAGGAACTTACTTGTTGATATACTTGTTAAATAGCGCTTGCCCTCCTCTAGATACTCCTAGCTTATCAATGTAATTCTGAACACAATCTATTCTAGATGTGATCTGACCTTGGCAGAATACACAAGTAAAACCCACTTATTCCTGAAAGCTACTCTTCTCTTAAAACAGCCAAAGCTCACTTATATTTTGTGGCTAAACTATCACAAAGTGGATTCTTATTAAGCTCACAGTTCACTAAAATCCCTAGATCTTTTGTTTTTTTCTTTCATACAGACTGTTATCTAAGCATGCTTCCTCTATCTTGGTTGTGTAAAGCCCATTTCTTTGAACTCAAATATAAGATTTTACATCTATCCCTATGAAATTTCATCTAATTAGAGTCAGTTCAATCTCTTAGTTTTTCAGATCTTTTTGGTTCTAAACCAGTACATTAGCCATCCCTCTTAGCTTTGTGTCATTTACAAATCCATAATAAAAATATTAAACAGCATAGGTCCAAGCAAAAATCTATGGGACACTCCACTAGCTACTGACTT